TGTTCTGGGAGAAGGTTTGGAGCCTTAGAGCCAGGCTGACTAGAATGCAATGTATCATTGCCAAGACACTCATCTCTTTAATGAATGCTTAAAGCAAATCTTAGAAAGAAAGGACTCACCATTTCACCTACACCTTTTCTTTTGGCTATTTTCTCATTTGAAACTTGACCAATTATGATGTTAAAATGCACATTGACTCATAATGTCGCTGTTGCATACAACTTAGCGATCTTCTAGTTCAGTGATTTTGTGTTACATATATAAGGAAATTGATGGTCCAAGTGGATGAGACTTTAGCAGAGTCAAATGGATAATCTGTGACAGAAGTGAGACTAAGCATCATTGGCTATTGTGCCTTTCTTTGGGTACTATATAATGACTGACAACTGCTGCCAAAAGCATGTGTCACCATAGAAGCTAATGATTTTAGGACAACTTGATCTTTCATCGTACACTGATATGGAACCACAAAATGTGGTCTGTCACCTTCCTTGTGGCCACTCCATGCAGCAAAGTAGGCGGTTGGTTCAGACAACCTTGCTTTTGCTGCTTGCATACAATAAAGGCATCCTCTATTGCAAACCTTATTTTTATTCTCTTTATGATTCCAGTTTTATGATTTAAAAGGAAAACTCAAAATTCATCTTCTCTTATTATTAGTTTAAAATATTATCAAAGTATTCACAGAGCTTTGTTACTTTCCAATTTCATATAGCTACAAATAAAAGTTTCTTTAAATTTTTCCAAAAGTAACACAGCAAACATTAGTTTATTTGGTGAACTGTTTTTTTTTTAACACCAAGGTGAAATCACAAGCTGTTCTATAGATTGGCTATCTATTATCTTAAACTATGTGAGCATTCTACTTCAATTCACTTGTATGTTTTCCTCTCTCTGTCATGTGCACAAGCTACTATATGTATAAAGTTATTTAAATATATTGATTATTTAGATTGTTAAAAGACAAATTGCTTTTGAATAACATGCACTGCTCTTAGATTTTGATCATTTGTAATTTGTTGAATGACTCCATTGAGTAAGGAAAGACTTTATGTTGTGATTCTGATTAATTACCATAATAACAACCATCAAATAAATCAACTATATACCTATCACGGCTCATTGACAGCATTTGTTTTCTACCTGAATTGGGGGGGGAGGGCAACTACTAAGGCAGTAAATACCTTTGTTTTCCAACTGTCCACTTGTAAATCCTGCTGATAGGAGCTGTGCAATTTAGCAATGGTTTTATAAGTACTTTGAAAATCGACAACTTCCTTTAAACAGCAATAGATTTTGAAGTTTCTCTGCTGTACCTATTTTTGGACTGAGAAAATCATTTGTGGAAGCCAGGCTGAGGCCAAGTTCTTCATCACAGACAGAAAATGGGATTTTGTAAACCTGCAGTGTCTGAGTTTGTTATTGCATGCAGCTGTGCAAATCTGCAAACATTTCCTTCTCTAGTCAGGATCTTGTGGAAGGCGCCAGTTTGGACTAATACCTCCATTGCTAACATTTGTGAAGACTGCAATGCAGGAAGCAATTGAGATATTTGAACCTTTTCATATATTTTAACCTGGGCATTAAATACTAGGTAGAGAGAATATGAAAGCCAATCTTCTCTGATTCAATGTCATATGAGGAATATATCAGAAACCTTTTTGTTATGGTCATTCTTAGGGAACTTTAGAGTATCACTTGAAAGATCCTTGTGTATGTGTTTTGTGTACCTTCCTGGGGTTATCTGGAGAGGATGACCAAGGAGGGTCAAGGCCTGGGTTTTCAAAAAGACATCATTGTTTCATACTGAGACTTTCTTGGAACTAATCGATAAGAAACTCAGTGAGAATCCCTTACAGTTCTTATGGATACTGGTCTCGCATTTATTTGTTTTCAGTCCAGCCTTTGGAACCAAGGAAGATGTGAAGACTGTTCATGCTCAGGTAAACCATCACAGCTTTGAGCTTCCTTGATTGCCATGGTGATGCTGCCCTAGTGTGATTACTGCCAAAATTTGCAGAGTTCTCCTCCCCTTCTGTGGTGATTTACACAAGAGGCAACTCTCCCCATGTAACTGCAGAGAAGTTATTGGGTTCGGGATTCTTTAGTTTGATTTAATAATTAGCTCCTTATTACATCCTTGGGAGGTCTAATGGGCATGAAGAAGTGACAGAAGGAGGCAAGCTTCATGATTATGACTGAGTTACATTCATAGTGCTGATGGAAATAAGTCATATTAATTTGAATCCTAGAGGCAGAGGACAAATAAGTTTATTTTTCCAATAGTACTTCTCAAAAACTTGTCAGTGTGTGCATGTGTATTTCTTTTAGAAAAGGCTTCACTTTTTGTTAAAGTCTAAAGTTTAGACAATGAATCACCTATAAGTTGGGGACAGAAACAGTGCTGCTTCTATAATGTTCTGAACGTTAAATGGGCTAATATATGACATGTGCTTGGAACAGTTTCATTGTCATGATTACCATATTTTGTACTATAGTATCCTGGATTTTAATGCCAATGATGGTTCATTAAGCAAATATTGAGCACACTGACCAAATTCCAGGCATTTTTCTTGAATTTGGCAGAATATTTGAACAGGTTGGATGTTCTGTGCCCTGGGTCTGTCAGATATCCTAGGTTGCCCAGCATCCATACCCAAACAAAGTGGGTTTTCTCTACTCACATTGCCTTATATCCACTATGTCTACAGGATGTTTTTGTAATAATAATTTTATAGCAAAAACCTTATTATATTTATCAAATAATACTTTGGGAGATTGATGGTTCTGAAAAATATGAGAATCTATGCGTCTTAAATCTCTGCCCGTTCTGTTGATGAAACCACTCATTTCACATTCTGCAAAATTCAAGTAAATTGCAGAGTAAATCACTTCCCAGATAAACTAAGTAAAAGTTAATTCATTGGATATACTCAGGGCTAATACTCTGGTTGTTTTTCTCCCTTTTATCAATCAGACAACTACTTTTAAGTGATCTCCCAAGAAATAATAACACATTTCTTTTTCATTAGTGCATATTAATTGTACAAAAGATTTCATTATGACATATCCATGCACGCACATAATGCACTTTGATCACTCTTGGGTAACTTGTGAAGAAGCAAAGAACTATTCTAATTTTTACTGGATGATTTTGACTTAGAAATAACTGACTTAATCCTGGGTGTGCAGCCGTCTTGATCTTGCAAATTCTCTTTATCATCCCAGCCACTATCCATGCTGTTGAGATTGTTTGGGTATAGTAGGTGCAGAGAGTAAAACCCTGTTATTTGTGGTCCAATCTTGAATTTGCCAACTTTAAGATTTGAACTCTTGGTTTCTCTTTCTTGGTGATATAAAGAAAACATTCATACAGATTTGTAGATATTTTCAGAATCTCATCTTTGTGTGGATTAGGTTTTGGACCTACAGCATGACTCAAGGTTGAAATGGTTTTCTAGGGTAAGGTTTCTCACCATCAATCTTGTTAATGCCAAGGAACTGCACTTGAACTACGGGATGATTATTAGCATCTCTGATCTCCACTCAGGAAATACTAGGAGCACCATTCCAGACATTGCTAATTGTCCTCAGTAAGAAAAACTGTTTCTGGATGTGAATCAGCCCTCTGGAGGAAAATGGTATGGCAAGGAAATCCTTAAAGTAGAACTAGATGAACTGTGGCCAATGCCAGAGGTATGGGTATGAGTTGAAGTCACTGTAAACAGGGCCTCAGCTCTAGAAAGAAGGTGAAAGGAAGACAATTTAAGAGAGGTGGTCTCTTGGTCTAGCCTGCACTGAGCCTTCTGCATCCCAGGATGCATACCTGATGGATTTACATTCCTGTTACCCTGAGGGTAGGGAATTGAGGGTGAGATCTATTTGGGGAGTAGTGAAGAATAGCATCTGGGGATGTTGGACAGGAAAAGGCAAGGATCATGAAGAATCACAATGAGTTAAGGGAGGTATTCAGATGGCTACATGTCAGTGATCACACATTGATAGATGAGAGATTTTCAACTCTGGAGCCTTTGGCATGGAAAACTTCTATATTGCCTCCAAAATTCTGTGTCAAACCTGTTTTCAACTAGTGAAGTGTTCCGGTTGGAAATCCATACAGTATTAAGAATGCTCCCTTTGTGAATATAAAAACTTCAGCCAGCAATGACTGAACTTGGGGATTATTAACATGAAAAGACTCAGAGAAGGATATCAGTACATTTTTATATGAGATAACTAGGGTATAGAGAGGCTAAGGGATTTGTCTAAGTTTTCACAACAGACAGCCAATGATCATAATTACCAACCAGACAGTCTGACTGTAAAGCCTACATACTGCCTGACTATACCCACTACATTAGAAGCCCATTGCAATTACATGGACCATTAACTGGTCCCAGAGCCCAACTCCCATTCCATAACCACATACAAAGCATGGAAAATACTTGGGAGAGGAAAATGAGATTTGTATGTTTTGAGAAAATGAGCTATTTTAATATTGTTGGGAAAATTAATTAATGAGAAGAAAATAAATAGTGGGACCTGGGATGGAGATTGTTGTTGTTGTTGATTATAGGACAATGATATTTTTAAGGGGAGAGGGCTATTAATTTACATTATTTAACAAAGGAGACGGATGTGTGATTTATTGAGGTAAATGTTTTGGGAGCCAAATGGCTACTCTTTTCTTCTCTCAACGCCTTCACCTTCTCACCACTCCCAGCCCAATCTTATTCCTCAATTATTATTTATCTTCTAGAAGAGTCAAATGTTTCAAGTGAAGCTAACATGAACTCTTCCCAGCAAGAGTTTCTGAAGAGCTAAATGGCAGCTAAAGACTCAAATCAAATGGAAGGAAAGGAATTAGAAACCAAATCATAGAGTAAAAATCTCTCACTAACAAGACTTTTGCAATGATCATAGGCTGATTAATATTTTATTAAAGTAATATGGGACATTATGAGTTGTCACTCTCTTCTAACACAGGAAATTGGTTGAAATCATTTTTCTCCTATGATTCTCACGTTAAGCTGTCCACAGTAGAGTCTCAGATTACTTCTAAAATTAACACATTTGTCTATTGTTTTATATTATTTTTAAGTCTTGGACTTAGACTCAGACTTGGTATTTTCTACTATTGTTTACTACAAGGAGAAAACTTCAGATATAGAGGAAACGTCTATATTTTCATTTTGTGTAGAATTAGAAAAGGAGGAGGTAATGTTGACATTGAAATGAAACTTGCAAATGAAATGAGTAACTTGACCTTTGCTTCTTGTTAAAATTTTTATTGGAAGAATTTTGATGTGCCTTGGTAGCAAAAACAAATACCTTAGCTATATATTCTCTAAATAATTGAAATGTAGAGAAGTGTTTTTGAAACTTCACATTCTGCAAGTGGTATATGTCTGCATACATGTCTGTTTTAATACAGGTACAGGTAAACCTAGTGGGCATACAAGTGTGCGTGTGTTTGTGTGTGTGTGTGTGTGTGTATGCATACACCCCAATATTATAGTGATTTTGAACCATAAAATAGGAAAGAATGTAAATATTTTCTGGTGTTACAGGCAATAAATAACTCTCAGAGATGGGCATTTTTTTTACTTTTATCTTTATTCAGCATAAACTTTGGCTTCTTCTATGTGAAGCACTAGGCCAGGGGCAGATATAGCCTTCTACCTCCAGTGCGGATAAGGCTGGTTAGAAGCCTGAAAAAAACAAGAAAATTCCTTTGGTGCTAAAAGTTATTACACAAGCAGAGAAATTAATGTTCTTGAATTCTGGATTCATCTGTTTTAAAGAAAAACTAGAGGAAAAACCATTTTGGTGTATGTGGTTTGATCTAATAATACTTTTCTAATTCTTAGAAAATCCCCAACAATATTAAGATTAGTGAAATGCTCAGTAAATATTTTGTTGTGGATAGTTGAGATTTTCAGTTTTAACCAGTGAGTCTGTTTTTGTTTCATTTTTTGTTTAAAATATTTGAATTAATAGAAATTATTCTTCTATGTCAGAAAGTAATATATAGAGCAACACTGGGGTTATGATGGAAATGCCCTGTATGTGTGCTGTCCAATATGGTAGCCACTTGTTCAATGTACCTGTGTAGCATTTGAAATGTGTCAGTTGTAACCAAGAAACTGAATTTTAAATTTTATTCAATTTTAATCCATTTAAATAGCCACATAGGACTACCATATTGGACAGTGAAGGTATAAAGTATTATTCAACTAATACACATCTCTGCTTTGAAATATTCCATTGCATTATCATTCTATAGATCTATATTTTGAGTTGGAAAATAGGACAACTATTACTACCTTTGACATGTGAAAGTTAGTTTCAGATAGTTTTTTAATCTCTATCCTTAAAGCATGCTCTCAAGATAGGTAGCTAAGGAAATACAGCATTGAAAATAACTTGTGAACTTATATTTTCCTTTGCCTTTTCTAATAAGCGAACTATGAACATTTTTCCGGTTAATTAGAGTTGGTATTTATTGAAGTTGGTCTCCTCTGTATAATTCAAACTCAATATCATTAAGCATAGAAGAGAAAAAAGTGTACATTATACCCAGTGGAGAGCTCAAAAGCAAAATTCATGAGCTTAAGGCTAGCAATAATCCAGGTATTTATTTAATTAAAAAGAAAACTCATTTAATATGAAAAGGTGCTGCACACCCCAGTTTTTAAAGTTTTACCACATAGACAATGTGTTTTGCCTGTGACCTTCCTGCTCTTTGAATCTAGTCAACCTCCAACAGAATTTCAGCAGTACCCATCCTTAATAGTCTACATGTGGAGTACATATGATATTTCACTTAACGAGAGAATTTAAATGCATGCCTAATATCTTAAGGGAATAATAAATAAAACAGCTACATACCGGCTGCTTTATCACGCTCTGGTACCACTTCGTAGGGGTAAGCACCTTAAGAGAAAGAGACATTAGAATGCATTTGACTTAATTTAGCTTCATCCAACATATAAATTCACTAATGCAGTATGAAATATAGACTCACTGAAGCAGTCTGTCAGTATTGATAAGCCGAGACTGCTAAACATGTGTCCAGCGCTCTAGTGTGATAGATTCTGTGTAATGTACACCACACACATTTTTCATGTTTTCTCACATGCTCTCTGGCAAATATTGTATTCACTTTTATAGATAAGTCATGAAGAGTTAAAGAATTCATCAATTTGACTAAAGCTAGAAAAGTGGTAATCATGTCTAGTTCCTCAGCTCCTGCTCTTTGTTGAAAGAGCAAAACATAAAGCTGTAGCTGGATGTCCCAGGTTGGTTAATTCAGGGGCAGAATGATGACATCAAAAATTTGGGGACTTTTCGTCTTTCCATTTGCCTCTCCTGATCACAAGATGGCAGATATTACTCCAAGCAGCACATTCTCAAAACAAAATAGATCAGAAGATAGTACAGCATTTTAACCTAGGATCTACATATTTTCTTAATTAGAGGGAAAAACTTTTCCCCCAAAGTTCCTCCTCTCCCAGGAGTCTTGCCCTTATCTTCATTCAGAATTCAGGGTCCACCACAATCTGTCTCTCAGCCAATCACTGGCAATTACTGTGGTAATTGATGCCATAGTTGGCATGGAGGAATGGAGGTTCACTCCCTGAAGCACCTGAGGGTCTCACCTCTCCTGAGCTTGTGGAAGGCTAAATGTGGGGATAAATTCCAGCTCTGCCAACAAGGAAGGAGTGGTAAGGAAATCTAGTGGACAGTTGGGTAATGATGGCTGCTATATCTACCAGAGCATTTTGCCTGTACTTCCGTCATAGCACTAATACTGTTTTGGCCTTCTTTTATCATGTTGATGAGTATATTTTATTCCTTTGATGGATTCTAGATCCCTTACAGATAGGGACTTACTGTTTTCACCAGCACATGGAACAGTACTTTGTCCTATAGAGTGCTTGATGAATTTACTCCATCGCCCAAAATTGGCACATGCCAATTGACTAAAGGCTTTCTTACCTTTTGTATTGAATCTAAATTCCTTAAAACCAAGTTATTTGTTTTAATATTGACACTCTCCCAGTAAAGGTCTGTTTGTTTATTCCAGAAAATGATTAAGATGCCTTAATCATAAAGGTACTGGAATAAAGTTGCTGTGGGTGCTGTGTAATATAAACCCTGCAAAGACTGTTTATGATTTGTGTGGGTGTAGGAGGAAAAAAAGATTGAAATATAAATATGAGTGGGAAAGAAAACTTGTTTTGAGTTCATTTTATGCACCTGTTAACGTTTTGAAGGCTATAAGGGTAGAATTTGTCATCTTAAAGATTATGAAGTGAAAGAAATGACTTGTATATAAAACCACTATGATTCTCTATTTGAACCTTCCTTATTAAATTTTTCTTAGGGAGACTAATTATTTCTATAATCTTAAGTTCAGTGCATAATTACACATATCACATAATTTCATTTAAAAATACTTTTTCTGAAGAATGAGATATAAAGACCAGATTTTGCTTACTAATATTGTGTGAAGTATAAAGTCAGTGTTCCAAGTTCTAATTTATTTTATAATATAAACATTTTAAAGAGTTTTTTTCAATGTAAAGAATTTTTTTCTTCTAAACTAACTTCATTTGATTCAGATTGAGTGACTGTCCATGTTCGTCATTCTTCACATTATTAGCTATTATAACTGATGTATAAACTTCCATTAAAAAAAAGCATAAAGAGATTCAGTCCTTATTTGCCTGCCAAATGGTCAATTTGTAGGTGTAAACAGTTCCTACCTTATTCACAGATATTCCTTTCTAGCTTGTTCTCTTGAGTGACATGAAAATTTAAGTTTAATTCAACACAAAGACATGAATGATTTTTAAAACATTTTATTGCCTGCTAATGATACTTATTTTTAGTTACAGAATTTGCTAAGTAAAATGATTGTAGGCACAAATCATTGTGTTCTTGTTTTATTCCTAAAAGCAACTGAAGTATCAACTTCAGTTCTCTCATTTTCTGAGTTTTTAATCCTGAAAAAAAATAACAAAAGGAACAATTAAAATAATTTATAAAACATTCCTAATGAGTACCATTTACAAAGCATGTATGGCTTCAGTTTTGTCAGAACAATGTACTTTTGAGTTGAACTCTATAATTTCTGAAGTTTCTTATCTCATTGTCCCTAAGTATTGGGTCCCTACCTTTAGGACACTTAAAACCTATTATTTAGTAATATAGTAACAATTGCTACCTTTTGTTTGGTACTTCCTGCTTGCTGGCTCTGAGCTAATGACTTTATTTCATTTTCCATAAAACAACTCTAAGATTTATACTCCAATTTAGACAAGAGGAAACTGAGTTTTGGAAAGTTCAAACTACCTGCCAAAGTCACCTTTTCACAAATAGTTCTGGCAAAGTATGAGTGCATTATCAAGTCTATGATGTTAATTATTAATAAAGATAAAAACATGCATTTTCTATGCAAACAGATAACATGTACCTTAGACTAGAATGTCAATGATAGGCACCAGATTATTCAATTTCAAACAATTTTCAAAAATTCTGCCTCATCTTCTCCAAAAATATGCTCATAATTGTGAAGACATATATGATATGTATTAATCATATTGGCCATTTAATCTTAGACAATGTCTTTAAAATGATCTGTTTTAGTCACTTTCTCCCATCTTAAAGAAGGGAAAATACCCAAAATTTGTTGTAACTTGCACAATACCACCTTCTGTTTGAGGGCAAAGCCAAGATTGGGACTAAGGTGTCCTGGCTCTCCATTCAGGTCATTTACACCTCACTCCTCTTTGCTTATCAGGAGCAAATCATTAATAGCATTTATAAATTGGGATCATATTTGGATACAAATACATAGTAGAATCCCATAATCTCAAATACAGGGTTTATGGATATGTACAAGAGTCCTTTCATTGACTATTCTCATTTGTGGGTAACAGCTTCCTGTAATGCAAGAAGATTTCATCCTAAATTATGACAATTTTCTGCTAAAAGCTTTATCTATAGAGTCCTAGTGCTTAAAAGGAATCTAATAGTCTGTCTAGTTTAGCCTCCTCAAGTTAGATAACCACTTTAGAGAGATAATCTTCTTTAAGGTTGTTAAAGAGATTTTTCATCTACCTTTTATATGTGTTTCAAATATTTGTACCCCCTAACTTACAAGAATTACTTCATTTTTATCCTCACTGTGATTTAGCCTATTCAAGGTAGTCAAGCCTTTGAAATATAACAACTGTTATTTGAGATAACAGTTTTGACCTGCAAGTCATTTCTTTCACTTCATAATCTTTGAGGTGATAAACTCTAATGCATAGTCTTAAAATTAGTCTGCTTTAGCAATATATGTTCTGGTAGGAATTCAATAATTGTAGAATTCAAACCCACAATAAAAACTGTTATTAATTACCAAGCCATGTAGATGAATTCATTTGCAATAAACAGTTATAATATATGCTTAGACTAATAGAATTATAGATCTGTAGTTACTGCAACCCTGAGTTGTTTGAGGATTTAGAACTGTGGAGTCAATCCTTCAGGACTATGTCCCAGGATTTGTCTTTTAGTGGCTTCAAGGTATACTCACCACTTCTTCCCGCTTGGTCTTGTCTGTTGCTGGCCAAGCTTCCAGAGGCAGATCAGGAAGAATGGGGGGCAGGGGCTGCATGGGGAACATTGGAGGCAGAGGTGGCTGTGGGGGCAGGGGCTGCATGGGGTGCAGAGGTGACTGGGGCTGGAGGGGCTGGTGGGCCTGGGGTTGGACGGGCTGGGGCTGGAAGGGCTGCTGGAAGGGCTGCTGGGCAGGTGGAGGGAGGTTTGGCTGGTGGTGTTGGGTTGGAGTCATGGAGTGGTGGCCAGGAACTGGCATCATTGGTTGCTGGGGGACCACGGGCTGTTGAGCTGGGACCACTGGGACGTGGTGATGAGGCTGAAGGGTGTGACTCGGGGGATGCTGTTGAGACAGCACGGGGATGATTTGGTGGTGCAGCCATCCACCCATGGGTTCGTAACCATAGGAAGGATACTGGTGAGAAACAGAGAGTCAGGTTTACCATTGGCTCAGTTGACTTCCAACTGGAGAAGTAGCAGTGTTTGTCATTATGACCATATGAATATTTTAGCCATTTTTTCCTTTGCAAGAATTTCTAACTGTGTACACAGATATGACCTTTTACAAACTAAAATTCCCCAAAGTGTCTGTAGGTGGAGTAGATATGATATTTCACTTAATAAGGGAATTTAAATGCATGCCTGATTTCTTAAGGGGATAAGGAACAAAATAGCTACATACCGGCTGCCTTATCATGCTCTGGTACCACTTCAAAGGGGTAAGCACCTTAAGAGAGAGACATTAGAATGCATTTGATTTAATTTAGTTTCATATAAACTAAATACTAAACTCACTAATGCAGTATGAAATATAGACTCACTAATGCAGTCCTGTCAGTATTGATAGCCTGAGAATGTGACTTCTACAAAAGAAAGAAGAAGGTAAACAGTTGTTTGGTGCTTCTTATGTGTTAGGTGCTATGTTACATCCATCACATACACTTTTCATGTTTTCTCACATGATCGGAGGCAAGTATCATCATCCTCACTTTTATGGATAAGGTCATGAAGATGTAAAGAAGTTCATTAACTTGACTGAGGTTACAAAAGTAGTAATCTGTTCAATTCCACATTTCCAGCTCTTCATTGCAAGAGCAACACAAACAAGCAAAAATTATTACATAATAATGTGATGTAATATTAATTTAATTCTTTCTTATCTGATGTCACAATGGAAAAAAGTTGGTGGGAGCACTGTCCCTCATCCTTAAAACACAGATTTATTGCTCAAATATGTCAACATTTTAAAGGTTCAACAAAAAAGCTTGTCTTAAATTCTTATGAACATTTTTCTTCAGCTTATATAAGCTCAGATGTTACCTGAGCCTGTGAGAGAAGTAAGTCTCATTCCTCTCTGAACAATATATACTTGATTAACCTCAAGTTTAGGGCTTCTTCATATTTAGTCAACATTTAATCAATACAACAAAAAGTTATTAACCTTGCTCAAATTATACATTATATAGCACTTTTCATGCCCATTAGCTGTGTTACTCTCCAAACAATATTTTGAAATGTGACTCTAGTTATTTCCCTTCTCCAGATGAGAAAACCAAAGTTCAGAGAGAGAAAACATTTCTCCCAAGGCCATGTAGTCAATATAGGTTGAGGAGTACCTCAAACCCTATTTCCAGAACTCTTAGGCTTCCCATTGTTCTGCAGAGTCTCTCATATACCATTTGTCACTAATCTTCCAGCAAAGTCCAAGAGAGACACACATAGAGTGTGAACATCTTAGAATCAGGAATTTTCCAGCTGGAAAAAAATCTTAACATCTTACCTAGTCCCCACATTTTATAAGTTTTGATAGAACAGGGTGTTCAAGCCAAGTTTACTTTCTGCCCTACCTAGAACCTCCCTGATTGGTAGTTGATGGAGGATAAATTTATAGTCATATTTAAGAGTAGAGACTAGGTAGAAGGGTGCTGGAACAAACAATGAAAGCTTGAGGCCATATGTCAGAGCTTAAACTTGGAAGCTAATGATGGGAACTGAACAAGTGCGACCATTTGAGAAACATCTTGAATAAAGAATCAACACACTACTGTTTAGAGCACTCAGGGTATTTCTAACTCAAACAATGGTCAAAAATTAGTAAATAGAAAAAATTACCTCATAGCTGAAGTTGATATAACCAGGGTGCCAGGATGAGGTGGTAGCTTTTTAGGAAGGGGGAAAGGAGAATACAAGAGAAAGGGTGGAGAAAGGAAAGGAAAGGGAGAGAGAGAAAAGAGGAAGAGAAGGGAAGAGATTAAGTCAATATGCAATTGTTTACATTAAGGGAGACTAAAACTATTTTTTAATCTATATAGTGCAGAATATATTGAGATCTACTTTTTGTTTGCACATGTATGCTGTATAGGAGGATTCTTCTTATTTTAAAGAAGTCCCAAACGGAGAAATGACTTCCCCAAGAGTTATAAGGTTTTAATGGGAAACCTGGAAGCAGAAACCAGCATACATTTATTCTCCAATGCTCTTTGGACAATCCCGTTTAACCCATGTTGTCAGGAAATTCTACCCTATCCCACCCACCAGTTTACTTGTTGATGAAACACCCTCCTTGTTGGGAGAGATGTATGTTTCTATTACACAATTTTAAAATACCAACAAGAAAAGAATTGTCTCACAAAGAGACATCTGTAGATTAACTGGTTATGTGCTTAAGTATCAAAGGGATTCTTTTGTTATTAGCATGCAAAGTAGATAAATAACACATCAATACTAACAAAAGGAAAACTAGATGGGAATTATTAATGAATATGAGAACAGTAATATGGGCACAATAAAATGAAAGTCTCCCAAATCCCTCCCCTAGACAATGAAAGCTCACCTATAAAATTTTAAGGCCAATCCATTTTGTTAGACTTGGCAATATTTTATGGCAGAAAAATTTTAAAGTCCAAAATAAAAAGCAACTTGAATATCTGCACCAGGACTATCTGTGATTTCCACAACTCACTGATGCCTGCCTTGTGGAATTCTGGATGGCCCTTGGGTGCAGGAGACAGAGAGGAGAGAGCATCATGCAGAAAATTTCTCTCAGATCCAGAGCTAATTAAGGGTCACTCTTTCTTGTTCTTTAAAAATGCTCATATTTTATGAGGATTTATTCACTCTTACCTCAGTGTAAATTATTTTAGTCAGATAACTGCCTTTCCTATGTCTTGATATAAGCCCTCTGAGAGTGAGGTATTGAATTGTGGAGTGGAAATGGCTGAATTTGTAATGCAGGGGTCCCCCAGGGGACTAGGAATTGCCACAATACAGGATTTCAGGAAGGCAGAGCACAGAATCTTGGTCTTGTGGTTGATAGAGGAAGAGAGGAGGCAGGTATGCAAGCTTACTGGCTTCTGGTTGTATCAACTGTTCTTTATGCCACCAAAAAGCATTGCCAGCATGTGACCTTAGTTCTCTGTCCTTATGTACCTGTGTCTAGAGAGTGGGTCAGACTTCCTGGTCTTTGGTATATTTGAATGTAAAATATATCAATTTGCATTTGGCATAAGGCAGGATTCCAGACAACTGTACTAAAGCCAAGCCACCTGGTTAGCAGATGCACCACAGGGATGAGGCTCTGAGAACAGGGAGATGGTTCCAGGACGGAATTCCTAATGCAAAACTCTTACCCCCTGAAGGGTAACAGTAGTGGTACTTTGAAGGCGAGAAAAGACTTGTGAGAAACTGAATTTTAGAAATTGTTGTAGTATTTTCCTAAGGTTGATTAAGTGTTTTCTCTGAAACCTTTTCAAGGATCCCTTCAAAAGATTCCTCCATCTAGAAATAAGCTAATTGCTTCAAAAGAATCTCCTGGGGTACTGGTTAAAATGCAGAGTCTTGGGCCCCACCCCTGCTATACTGAATCAGAATCTATGGTGGATGGCAGAGGTATTTGAGAATCTGTTTTGCTTTTGCTTTTTTTCTTTTTTAACAAACTCTTAAAGGGCTTCTTCAACACAGAAAGATTTGAGTATGTCTGATATTGTACTGTTTTAAGCCCTGAAATTTACCAACTGTGTGGCAGATTTTCATTTCTAAGATGTGAAATTATACACAGACTTAAGCAAGGAGTTTTACTCACGGGCATAGCGAAGGCTGCTCCCAGGAGGCAGGCAAACAAAATCCAGGTCCCCATTTCTGGATGGTTCTGAAATGTAAGTCAACACCCGCTTTTCTTATCTCCTCTTATACATGGACATAATTAATGCTCCGTAATGCATACATAGTCTATAGTAGTATGTTGCTAGTAAAGAGGGAGCAATGATTCTTTGTGAGGTGACCTTACTCAAATGTCATTTCCAGTTAGCACATATCACTGTTTCTGTAGTCATAATAGTGATAAAGATGCTTTTAAATTAGGTTGAAAACTTAAGTTACAGGGACATGAATGACGGATGTATCATGCACCTATACAGCCTTGTAGAATCCTAGAAACTAAATGCTATTTATAATTAATGATTCAAAGAAAGTTGGAGAGCTCATCAAAATCCATAGAATTTTATACTCATAACAAGAAGATACAAACTAGTTTTGTATGGCCCACCTGAACATTGATGCAGTTAAAAGTAAAGACTAATTATTTAAGAAAAGATAGTAAGTAATTTGCCAAAATAGATTAAGGAAGGAGTAGGGTTTAGTTCCAGATGTTCCCATCTATAAAACTTTAAGCAAAATTCTAACCTTTGAGCTTCAAATGTAGAGTAAAAGATATGGTTGAACCAAAGGGAGAAGACAGTGCTAACATTCTGTGATTCTTTAATAAATTTTGAATGACTTCTACCTAAAAGGATCCATTTTCAAGTCAATAGCATCTTCTTTTTGTTCAACCTTGCACTGTAATCTAATCATTCTACAAATAAAGCCCTTGGGACATGATGCAAAACATACCATCCTAAACTATGAACATTGTTTTGCCACATCAGTTATTGACTGATTTGGAAAACTGTTAGAAAAAAGACATTGGATTTTATATAGGAAGTGAATATCCCATGTAATAATGCTGTCTATGACAAGTACCCTGGTGCTTTCTGCCTCCTAAACCTGCTTGTTTTTTTAAATGATTGAGTTAATAAGAAAAAAAAAACCATTTCATTCATGGTTCCATTTAATGTAATTAAATAAAATGTTTTTCAAAGAAGTAGAAAATGCCTGTGAAAGCATTATTTTTACCTTAATTGGTAAGCAAGGAAAATAAATGTTTTGCTGTGAAAACTGGCTCCCAAGAGAGCTTTGGGTACTGGAACTAAAATTTTTAAAAAGACAAACACTTTACTGAATTAGAAAGTAAAATAATGCATTTAAATAATCAGAGTCTAATTTAATTCTGAACCAACTGAAGAAGTAACTACCTATTGATGGCATAAAGTATTAGAAGTGTGGAATACATTTGCATCTTTTAAACATGAAAGGCAGAGAAAGAAATAAGCACCAGATAAAGGATACCAAATTATGAATAAAATTCACATACCTTTGAATGTATTCTGAGTAAATTTCTGTTTGAAACTCAGGGATACTTGATCCTTTAGATTTCATCCAACTGCGAGCCCAATATATATCATTCACAGCATCTACAACAACCAATCAAGTTTCTGAAGTAAAAAGTGTTGAGTATAACTAAAAAACCCTGTATCATGACTTTTTAGATGCTGTGATCAACCTTAAGATTGTATGTTGTGATTAGTGCATATAGAGTCTTTCATTACAGGCAATAATAGGTTTAGGAGGCAAAAATTTTCATCAGGCTGTCTGAAGTCAGCAAATTAGTTGACTGAACATGCTGATATATTTGAATATATTTTTAAGAAGCTGCTATGCCATTGTCTATTTCACAGTTGCAGCAAACAATACTGTTCTCCCTCCTTCACCACCACCAAAAGGTAGGTGGTTGAGTGTCTGTAGTACTCACAATGGCCACTAGGGTTCTCCAGCCTTTTGGGATCAGGATACTTTGATTCAACTCTCTATTCTAGTAAAAAAGACCAAAAAACTGCTCTCACTAGTATATCTCTAATGGATCATAATTTCGTGATCTCCAGTGCTCTTTCCTTACTTCCATTAAAGGTATTTTTTCTGTTTCCTATGGCTGCTCTTTTATCACCACTCTGATGTCCACCAAAAGAGGGGACAAAGGCCCTTTTTCTTGGCAGCATCTTTAAACCAATCTGCCATCAAAACAACCATAACTTCAAGGTTATTGCAGTAGTAAAACTTATACTAACAATCTTAGGGACAAGGCAAGGGACATATAACATGTCAGACAGTATAATTTAAAAGTATATTTGGATCTTTACAGACAAACACATGTCACAGGGGATATTGCTCTTACTCCCCTTCTCCACAGAGCAGCTTGGCCTCTTATGCTGTGGTGACCTTTCTTAGCCTGCACCAATCCCACTTTATCATATTGGCAAACCCAATTTCCTGTCTCTTCTTTTTCAGAGCCTAGTGACTGTCTCTTTAGTTGCATTGCTCCCATGTTTTCGGCATCCTCTTCTTTTCTTAAACAACATTAACTATATCTATTCACTCTAAGAGAACCTCTGATCTAGCTCTTAAATTCACATGTGTTTTACCTAGCTTAATGAAAATGCATGGCTATTTCATTTACTCTAGAATCTGATAGATTAAGAAGCAAATTTGTACCTAGTGACAGAAAGTAACTGATGAGTTGTCCATCACATTAAATCACTAAAAGATATGATTGGTGTTATAGCTACATCTCTTTAATATTTATGTAGTATTTATAAAGTTTATACATATACATATATTTTTATTTAGATTATTCATGTTGAAAGGAGAAAGTATTCATGAAAGTATGTAATATGTAGTAACTGTGGAGAGATATAGCTTAAACTTGCATGGATCCTGATCCCAGCCTTATCATGGGTTGAGGGAACATTGAAAAATTATTTAGCTTATCTGAGTCTCAGTTTCCTCATTTAAAAGGTGGAGATAGAAATAGAACCAACCTGAAAGGATTAGTGTGAAAATTAAATGAGAGATGTCTCTGGGGAAACTGAAAGTTTATTTATTGCCCACCCCACTCCCCTCACTTGACAAATAATAAAAGTTTAAAGAATGTTAATAAACAAGATCTAAGATAATCTTTAGGAAAGAATTAGTAAGGATGAGTAAGTATCATGAAGAAAGGTAACCCATTTAAACATGGAGACAGAGATTGCAAAGAAGGAAGTAGAAGACTTTAACAGGCAAAACATATATGGTTCTAAAAAACAAGTATGCCCAGAGTTTGCATTTGTTTAACAATATATTTATTAATGAATCATATTTCAGAGGAAAAAGGGATTTCCTCTGAAGGAAGTTTCAAAATGATTTTTTAGAGAGTTGGCAGAACTATACAAGGTAACAAAATAGAGAAGGAAGGAGAGGAAGGAAATATAAGTCACATATATCCTCTGTCAGTCTTCCCCCATTTTATTTGTTTACATATATTTGAGTGTCTGAAAGCATCCGGGATATATTCTTCTACAAAATTATGGGTGTTCTCTACTAGTGAAGTCACTGATGAATTATTTTTAGTCTTATTATACTTTTGTAAAATTTATCTTAGTACTTTTTCTCACCTTCTAAGAATGAGAGGGTAATAGGTTTGATTACAGTGATCAACAAATATTTTCTTATTGTGGAAGTAATTCCTCTGGCACTAGAGATACTGAGTTACTGCTCACTCGCCATAGACAGCAGTTTATGACCAGGCTTTGATGACCAATTCCACAGAAGTAATGTTTCTTTCTATCTATTTCCTCCACTGCATATACTGACCCGTTAGGTATTACAATATGGATCTCTGTGTTTGAATTATCTTCCACTAATGTAGACCCCACTTACATAGCTTTAAAATAAGAAAATCCAAATAAAATGTGCAAAAAAATCTGAATAGACATTTCTCAAAAGAAAAACTACAAATGGCCAGAAATATATGGAAAAATGCTCAATAATCATTAACCATCAGAGAAACACAAATCAAAAGTACAATGGGATGTCATCTCATCCCAGTTTGAATAACTGTTCTCAAAAAGACAAAAATAAAATAACAAATTTGCAAGGATGTAGAGAAAAGGAACTCTTCCACACTGTTTTTGGGAACGTGAGTTCCTAACATTCAGTCATGGCAGCGAACAGTATGGAGCTTCCTCAAAAAATTAAAGAGATCTGCAATATGATCCAGCTATGTCTCATCAAGGGAATATATATAAAGGAAGTAAAATCAGTATGTCACAGACACTTTCATCGTCAGGTTTATTGTGGCATTGTATACAACATCTAAGATATAGAATCAGCATAGGTGTCCATCAACAAATGAATAGATAAAGAAAAGGTGGTATATATACACAATGAAATATTATTCAGCCATAAAAAAGAATGAAATTCTGTCATTTTCAGCAAAATGGATGGAACTGGAGAACATTATGTTAAGTGAAATAATCCAGTCTCAGAAAGATAAATTCCCTGTGTTCTCTCTCACATGTGGAAGCTTTAAAAGGCTATGTGAATGTAGAATAGTGATTACTAGAATCTGGGAAGAGCGGAGGAGGAGGAATAAAGGGAGGTTGGATAACAAGTACCCAAACACATTTAGATAGAGGGAATAAGTTCTAGTGATTCATAGGATAGTGGTTATTACAGTTCACATTAATCTATTATATATTTTATGAAGATCTAGAAGATAAGTTCTCAAAGACAACAAACATGAAAATAAGGAGAGGCAAGTGCCATTTACCCTGTGATCGGTGTATGTTGTATTCTTGTGTTGAACTATCACAATGTGTACCCCAATAATAGGTACAATTAATGCTTGTTAATCAAAACACCTTTAAAAAAACACTAAATGTTTTGGTGGGAAAAACAAAGCTTCAATTGATTTTTCCTGTGAGCAGTTATTTCATTTATGTAAAAGTTAACCTTATAAACAATTGACTTGATCAACTACATTTGTTATATGAAGGGATAACATTTCCAAAGTATTTCTATTCTTGTTTTTCTCGGTTTTCTAAGTTCAACGTTTCTTCTCTCTTTTTAAAAAATCACTATTTAAAAACTGACTCTTAAGCATGAAATATTTTCCTCTATGACAATATCTATGGGACAACTGCATCTTTAACCACTTCTGCATCCATTCCAAATATGTATGTGTCAAATACTTACGAACCTCTGACTGTTCATATTAAAACAGGGACAAATGATAT